CTCCCAGGTTCGACGTCAATGTACAGAAGCTAATTTGTAGTTTTTATTTATCAGTGCCAATCAGTATGGCATAATTCATTTTACCGTCTGTTCAAATAAAAACAGCTGAGGTAAACTTGGGAAAAGTTTAACCGCCATAGTGTGTATATTCTTGTACTGTATAGCCTTATCTAGTAACAACAATCGATACGATCTTTGCTACCTGTGTGCTAACTCTCAGACTTGTCTGTTCTTGTTTACGTACCACATACTATATTTACATATCTCAAACAACAGTGCACATTTTCCCATTCTTCCTAGACGTGCTAATTACAACAAGAAATATTGTGAAAAACTTACCAAAATGTGATGGTCTGCAACAGACTGACCAATTTCCCTAGTGCCTTAAGATTACAAGGGTGAGTTTTTTCCTTGACAGGTATACCATGATTTGCCAACACACAACATGTAGGTGGTGGAATATAAATAGCTGGTCACGTTTTGTCGTGTTGTGGGATCATGAAATCAAACATGCTTTTACCATAGAGAAGCATTATGTTAATTGTAATCCTTCGATTCAGGTAGGATTTCGGCTCCATGAGAGAGGAGCTTTGTGTTTCTATGCAAATTTGTATGGTACTAAGCAGCCAGTGACAGGAAGGATTGCAAAAGGAACTGGCATTAAAAAAAACTGTAATAGAAACATGGTTAGTGGTATATAAATTTCCTTGTCCTCTTCATTCCTTTTTGTTTATTGTTCGCCGTATTATGCAACTTTCTTAATAATGTAATTATTGTGGTCGTAAATTCGATTTTTTTTTTCTACTACAATATGTTGCCTGTATTATTTATTTTTCTCGTTCATCTTCCTTCTCCTCTTCTTCTTCCTTATCTTGCTTATCGTCATTATCTTCTTCTTCCTCTTCTACTTCTTCTTCTGCTTTTTCTTCTTCTGCTTCTTCTCTTCTTTTTCTTCTTCTTCTTCTTCTTTTTCTTCTTCTTCTTCTTTTTCTTCTTCTTCTTTTTTTCTTCTGCTTCTTTTTCTTCTTCTTCTTCTTCTTCTTCTTCTTTTTCTTCTTACACCATCACTTACTCGCCTTCCTCTATACCTTCGTTTTCCTCCCCGTGTTCCTCCACCTCGTCTTCCTATTTCGTCTTTCCCCTGCTAGGTTTTCCAAACCTTCATCTTCATTCTCTTTATCTTCCATCTTCTTGTCTTTCTCACTTTCTCAAATTTGTCTTCTTAATCATCTTTAGCTTCCTCTCCTCTCCTCATCATCATCTGCTTCTTCTTCTTCGTCTTTTTCATTATCATTAACAACTTCTGATGTCAATGGATATACACATTTCTTATTCTTGTTCTTCTTCTTACCTGGAACAGGGCCAAAATCACTTGACACTATAGAGCTTCTCTACTATATCGTTCCACGTTTCTCATTGGTCTACCTCTGGTTTAACGATCCTCTCCTCTTAAAAAAAAATTGACTTGGTTTTATGAAGACACGCTATCTAAATGGGCAAAGCAATTTATTTAGGGTCGTTTCCATAGCATTGAACCGTATAAAAACAAATACTTATGGCCCAATGAAACTACTATATATAACACGTCAAACAAATTCACAAGCATTGACCGACACTAAGTGAATTACAGTAGAATACGCTAGTGAATGTGAACTCAAACACTAACTCACCGCAGTTTTGCAGCGTCATTTTCTCGCATTTGAAGCTCCAGATCTTTGGCGTAGGCATTCTGTCTCCGGCGCTTGGCGCTTTCTCGCTCGTTGTCCCCTGAAATTGCAGAAAGTTGTACACGTATTATCTGCAGTGTAGAATGGAGTTGTGCCGCTCAGTGGCCCGAAAATCTTGGATGGGAATTCTCGCTGAGGTGAATTTTTTTGTTTTTATCAACGCCAAGCGCAGAATGCATAGATGTAGATAGAAGGATATCTTTGGGTGTATATCAAGATTTGTTTAATTACCTCAAAACTCCAAAGGATAATATGTTAGACGTAAAAAAAAAAAAAATGCTGTCATAAAATTCCATAACGAGCTAGAACGAAACCAGCAATTCAATATTTTAGGCTGCGTGGAAAATTTGTAATAACCCCTGACCTGTGTTTCACTGACCTCCTGACCTTTGTTTCACTGACCTCCTGACCTTTGTTTCACTGACCTTTTGACCTTTGTTTCACTTACCTTTATTTCTTTATGACGTTGCCCACACCATCTGTCGGTCTACAACAATAAGTATTAACACTATACCTCCTAGACATCTCACATAGTGAAGAACGTCTGTTACTTCTTATTTGAAATCACAAAAATATGAGAAATCTATCAGCTATCTTCTGAATGACGGTCCGAAATTATCGAGGCAGAAAATATACCCTAACAGGGCCTCAGTCACGTGTCAATTGCGCACTTTCGGGGACTAGTCGAGAGTATTCCCCACGCCACGTGTCCCTCACGCCGTTCACGCGGCGTGGATTGGGGCTAAACTAGATGGCTAGGACTCACGAGCAAA